CCCCCCCCCTTGCCCCTGTAATTGTTGCCAATGTCTCAGAGCAGCCCTCAAAAGCCTGTCTTCAGAATCCCTCCTGGAACCAATACCTGCAAGGAGGAATTGACAACCAAATTACAAATTATTGCCATGAACTGAGTGCAAAGGTGCCTCTAGCAGGCCACGGGAGAAGCGCGTGTGAACCGGTTGATTTGACTAGACTCTTCCCAGCCAACAGATTCTCAACCAGCCTCGTCACCAGGAGACTGAAGGTGAGGAAGTGGCCAGATGGGACTGGAGACTCCTTGGACATTTCCTGACTGGCAGGGCTTCTCTCTGGCCCCTGCTGGCAGGGCTGCCAGTGCCACCACTGCCTGCCTGGTGCGCCGCCTTTGGCTGAGAGGGGCTGGTTGGGAGCCAGGTCGATTAGAAGCTGTGCTGGGCTTGATGGCCACGCCCTGGTACCCTTCCAGTTTGGCTTAGGAAAAGGCCATGATGGGAAGGAAGAATCACAGGGCTGGGCCTCATATCCTCGTCTGCCATTCCTACCTCTACTCCAGTATTAAAACGTTTTGCAGACTTCACATAACAGCTAGCGATGCTTTATCATCCACCGATCAAGAAACACAAAAAGACAAATAGCCACATAAATATGCAAGGCAAATCTGTCTATAGACAGACAATGCTTGGTATACACATGGGTCCATGAACTCCTGCCAATAATGCCCCCATTCATTCAGTCAGCCAACATTTACTGAAGACCCACTACGTGCCAGCCCTGTGTTCGATGCTGGGCCCAAAACAATGAGAAAGACACAGCCCCTGCCTTCTGTGTGTGCACACTCTACTAGGGGAGGCAGACAGGAACCACGTACACATGGTCTTTGAGAAAGTCAGTATCACTGGGCTGAAGTCCAGGAGTCGGCAGGTTTGTGCTCCCTCTGAAGGCTCTGAGAGGGTCCTTCTGCACTTGCTCCAGCTTCTGGGGGCACCTTGGCTCATGGCCATATCCCTAGGTTCTGTATTGCTCCTCATCTTAGCACACTTATTGTTGGATTTAGAGCCCACCCAGATAATCTAAGATGAGCTCATCTCGATTAACTTGATTACCTCTGCAAAGATCCTTTTCCCAGATAAGGTCACATTCATAGATTCCTGGTGGACATATCTTTCAGAGGCCACCATTCAACCCACAACAGTATGAACATAGGGGTCTTGGGAAGCACACACCCCAATGTTGGGGGCCATTTCCGGTGCTCCCCACAGCTTGCTGCTACTGCTGTCTGTGGTGTTTGATCAGATCTTCCTGCTACATGAGTCACCTGACTTCTTCTAGTGTGTTACATACTGGAATCTGCATTTCCTCTGAGTTGGTTATGTCTGTCTCCCAACCACTATCTATCTATCTATCTATCTATCTCTGTCTATCTCTATCTCTATCTCTATCTCTATCTGTTTATCCATTCAGCCACCAGAAGTGTTTTTCTAAAGGCTGGCTTGGCTCCTGCCCTTACAAGCCTTTGATGCCTCCCCAGTGCCTGTGGGATGCTCTCTGAGCTGCTCAGATGTTGAGTCTGGTCCTCAACATCGGGTGGACACAGCCTACTAGCCACCCTCTCCCCACTCCCCCACCCACCCTCATGAACATCCATGTCCCATACCTGTCCCGTTTCTTCTCCCCAGGATATCCTGGGCTCCTCTGTCCCCAGGCCTCTGCTCATGCCTTCCTTGCCTAGGATATTTTCCATACCTGCTCACCTTCTTTCTACCTTTCCAACTTCAGCTCAAACCCCACCACTTCCTAGAAGCCTTCCCAGTCCTGCAGAGCTGAGAATAACTCTCTCTAGTCCCTTCCTGAAGGTCCAAGGGTCCATATCAGGGTGGCCAATTCTCCTAACTAGGAGTCTCTTTCTCCCCCTGTGGGATAGAGTTGAACTTGCCTTCTAGTCCCCAACACCTGGTACATGGTAAGAAACGTAGTGGGTTTTTGCAGAAAGAATTTGAGGGGGATGTGTGCATCTTATTTCTTCTTCCATTGCTTGGTTGGCAAGGAAGCTAACCAATTCCCAGAGGGGGTGGAAAGCTAGGAAAACCAGCTGAAATGGAAGGGGTGCAGTGTCATCTGGTATAATAGATAGCATCCAAAGAGACTCACTCCTGCCCTGGCCTCTCTTGCTGCCCCTTTTCTGCCGGATGCCCCTGGTCCACCATCTTCCAGGCATACCCGCCCTTGTCTTGGCACAGTTGTCTTGGCACAGGGATTTGACATTCATTCTGTTGACACCTGAGTGCAGATGTCCCCTGAGCCCCCTTTCCTGGTTCCTCCTTCTTTCAACCAAAGCCAGACCTCTCAGCTCCTCTGGCTGCTGAAATGTAAGGCCCCCAAGGCCATGGCTAAACATCATACCCAAACCCCAACTCAGCCGCACCCCTGGAGTCTGTGCCCAGAACCTTTTTGACTTGGCCCTCCTCAGGATACACAGCCCCTGGTAGCCATCCTCAGCCGCCCCCTTGTGTCCTACCCACTCAGGGACTTGCTGGTTTTGTCCCCAGCTTCTTCTTGGCCCTCAGCCTCCTCACACCTGCTTTCATGGGAGCATCAGCCTAAGAACTCCATTCTGCCATCACTATGGTGCAGGGAGGGGACAGAGCATGAACCCTGACATCAGCCCTGGGGTCACATCCCAGCTCTGCCTTGTACTTGCTTGTGACCTGCTTGGAGCCTCAGTTCCCAATGAGCTGTTCATTCACTTAGAAAATTTTTATGGGTGCCAGACATACTAAGTGCTAGTGATTGAGGTTGCAGCACTGAAAAGGACAGAAACTATGCCCTCAAGGAGTTCAGGGCTTGGGCTTGTGAGGCGCTAGCCATGCAAATGATAATGATGGAAGGAGATCAAGGCTATAATGTTGGGGCCCCATGCTGTGCTCTGATGTGCCTGCAGAGCTCTAAACAATCTCCCACTCTCAAGCATTATATTATAAAAACACAGCGAAGAGCTAAGGGCTAGAGAATTCTGCAGTTGCAATAAAAAGTCACTTTTCTTGCAAGGATTTCAATAAGACAGACTTTTTAAAAAAAATAGCTGTGGGTGTATTTGGCTATTGCCAGCTAAGATAATCAGCTGTTCCAAATGGACAGAACAGACATGAACACCACCAAGCCCATGCAGAACAGCACGCAAAACCAAAGTCAAGTTTCTGAACCGCCAAAATACTGTGTGTCCTCAATTTTAAGATGGTGTCATTGAAAAGATGCAAATGATTTGATGTGTTTTTTTTTTTTCAGGAAGAAATAAGGCAGCAAAACCACGTCGAAGTTATCCCTGTATAGTGCCGAGTGTGACAGCATTAATGAGTGAGAAAGCACGGGCTCTGAAAATTCCCTCTGCAGCCCACCTCCCACCTGCCAGAGGCCTCAGGCACACCAGCCACTCTGCACAGACGACACTTCCACCCCCTCCCATGTCTGTGGCCCTACGTCCCAGCTCCTTTCATAGCCAAGAGCAAGCCGCGTAGTGCTACTCTGGCTGCCTAGCGATGTTTTTCTGTCCCATGGGACTCACAACAGGAGAAATGGTTGTGTGCAAAGGAGTGACAGGGGAAAGGAGCAACCGCATCCCTCCCTGGGAGGGGTCCAAGACCTGGACCGCAGTAGCAGCTGACACATGGCAGGGAAGCCAGCAGAGGAAGAGAAATACTTAGCAAGTGAGTCGACGAGATTGCTTGTTGAGTGGCTGTGGAGAGAAGGGATCTGGGGGAGCCCAGGTTTCTGGGCAGTTACTGAGACATGCACCCCAGGAGAGAGAAAAAAATGGTGCCAGGTAGGATAACCACAGGGCTGGATGTGCCAGGGCGCTGAGTGTGCCGAGGATCCTGCTTTCCTGTGGGAGCAGCTCTGCGGTGTTGGGGAAGGAACTGGAGAGGCTCAGAGGTGGTGGGTGAGGCTGGCCATGCAGCCTCCCTGAAGGGCCATCTCCAGGGCCATCGCCTCCAGCTCAGAAACTAGTCTTCTCTCTCCTGAACTCATGGGCAGTCGATCAAGTGACCCCCACCTGTGCTGCTCCGCCAAGTAAGGCCGAACCGCCAGCAGAGCCACTGCCTGGGCTCCCAGCCAGTCTCCCCGCAACCCTCCCCCCACCCCCTCAGCCGTCCCTGTGCACCAGGGCCAAGGGAAGGGCCTGCTCTGTCCTGGACAGATGCTTGGAAGTGTTAGCTTCGGGGCTGGTGGTAGTTTCCTCTCAGTTCTTCTGTCTCCCTCCTCCTCCTTCCTCCTGCCTCTCTGTGGTACTGTTGCTAGAGTGTGTGTGCTGGCTTCCTATGGCTGCCATTACAAATGGCCACCAAGTGAGTGACTTAAGAGGATAGAAATGTATTTATTCATGCAGAAATGTATGTATGGTTGCATGTATTCTCTTCCAATTCTGGAGGTCAGAGGAGAAATCGAGATGTCCACAGTGCTCTGCTTTGTGTGAAGGCTCCAAGGGAGAATCTTCTGTCACCTCTTCATTTCTGGTGGCCCCTGACATTCCTTGGCTTGGGGCTGCACCACTCCAATCTCTGCCTCCAGCTTTACCATCACCTCCTTCCCTGTGTGGTTCAAATCTCCTTCCCTCTCTTATAAGCCCTGTCGTCATTGGATTTAGGATCCACCTGGATAATCCAGAATATCTCATCTGGAGATCCTTAATTTCATTATATCTACAAAGACACTTTTTCAAATAAGGTCACATTCACAGGTTCCAGGTAGACATATCTTTTGGGGGCACCATTCAACACACTATAGTATGAATATTAGGATTCTCCATCAACCCCAAGATCGCAGGCCGTGCCTCCCACAGGACACTCAGAGCGAAGTGCCCACAGCCACGACAGGAGGGAAGACCACTGCTCATATCAACTCTCCAGAACTCGTGGGGAAGGCAGCCCTGGAGGTCAGGTGACCCGACCCCATCGCTAGCCTGGCAGGGGAAAGGGAGGCTCTTCCTTGAGGTCTTCCTCCTGCTTCTTTTCTGCAGGTGTTGAGGGAGGGGACATCTCCCCTGCACCAGGGCTGCCCAGATTCCTCTTAGAGAGTCTCCCATTGCCCTGTGGGCCGGGGCCAGAGTCACACACCAGCAGGAGGCAGCAGGCTCTGAAGCACGGAGGGTCCCCACCCTGGTCCTGGGGCTAAAGACCCTGACATCCACAACAGTCACTTCAGGCCACTTTGAGGGCAAGTGGCAGCGGTGCGGCCGATCCGGTTGTGCAGCGCACACGGAGAGGGAAGTGGAGGCGTTTTGCAACCCGCAAAGGGCCATGCAGGAGGCATTCTTAGAGATGCGGAGCCATTCCTCCCACCGGTGTGGCCTTGGGGCCTGACTGGTCTGTCTCCTGCATCCGACATCAGACTGGACAAACTGACACCCCTCCTGCTGAGAGAAGCCTGGACTGGGGAGAAAGGGAGGGCTGGGGGTGGAGGGCTCTAAGAGGGGGAGCCCGTGTGAAGCTCACCCCCCCTCACACATTTCTGAGAACGTAGTGATGGAACAGAACAAGAGAAAGACCATGTCTTTCACCAGAGGGGGGAGGGGACAACCCAGTGACCAATTTCGGTGATTAGCTGCAAGAAGAGGGTCCTTTATTCCAGGCGTGTGTATGCCTTTTAATTTCCTCTTGTGGGCTCCTGAGGGGGCCCAGTAACCACGCAATTGGTATTCTTCGCAAGCCTTGGAGGATGCGGGCACTCTCTAGGAGCCAGCTCCAGGTGGTAAGGACTGCCACCTGCACTCCCTGCCTCCAGATTAAGTGTTCCGCACAAACCTGCCCTGGGCAGGGGAGGGGAGGTGGCGGGCTGGGACCGGGTCTGCCACAGGGGTGCAAGTGGGTTTTCTCCCCGTCTAGAGGAGGCAGCAGCGAGGTCCAAGTTGAAGTTGGCACCTTCCTAGCTTTGTGCGAAACAAAACAGAAATGTCTTATTGGTGATAAAGGGACTTGGTCCCCTTAAGCAATTGAAGGCACAGGAGTTACAAAGCAGTCCAATTAGGGGGTGGTGATTTGCATGACAAGAAGACCCTTTGCTTCATAAAAGAAGTTCTCCCGAGGCTGCATTAGATGGGGGGGGGGGGGGGGGGGGGGGGGTGTGGAGGGGGGTTTGAAGATTCCATTTGCTAAACAGTGTTTCACCCACAGCGCTGCCACAGAAAGCTCCGGTGTGAAACCAGTGCATCTGTACTGACTTCCGGGCAGCCTCCCAGCCCTGAGATGGGCCGGTCGGCAAGAGCACACGGTCCTTGTACTAGCTCACACGCACACACCCCTTCTTCTGCTGTGCTCTGGCAGTTTCTCAAAAACAGATGCAGCTTCTCCCCAGGCTGGGACCTGGCTTTGGAGGCAAACGTAGTGGCCTAGTGCCTGGGCCCAGGAGGGGGGCGGGGGCGGGGGAGGGAGGAGTAGGGCAGGCAAGACGGAATTTCTGTCCTGCTGGGCCGCCTGCAAGTTTCAGGGCCCCTTTCCTCTTTGGAGCCTTAGTGTCCACATTTATACAACAAGGGCATTTGCAGCTTCACCATTTCAGAGACTCCATTCCTGAGCTAGCTGAGTGGCCCTGGGGATGCCCTTGACCTATGAAATGGGATATGCCCAGAATAATGGCGAGGGAGGACAAAAAAAAAGGTATACATTTCTGAAAGTACTTTAGAAACTGTAATATTTGGGGCACTTGGGTGGCTCAGTTGGTTGAGTGTCAGATTCTTGATTTCATCTCAGGTCATGATCCCAGGGTTGTGGCATCGAGCCCTGTGTCAGGCTCCATACTGAGTGTGGAGCCTGCTTAGGATTCTTTCCCTCCCTCTGCCCCTCTCCCCCCAACCCCGCTCGCGTGCTCTCTCTCTCTGTCTCTCTGTCTCTCTCTCTCTCTCAACAAAACAAAAGAAAGAAAAAAGAAAGAAATTGTAATGTTTACGGATGCTGGAGACATGAAGGGAGGATGGAACCCATGTCCCCATAAAAAAAGGTGTCTTAAAAGTCACTCACGCACCATCAAAACACTCAGGTGGTCGGAAACCTGCTCAGTAGGTGTCTGTGTGCTAAGTGCTAAGGTGTTTCAGGGATCACCTTCAGGGCATTTCCATTCCAATCACTGCTCATTGGAAGAAAGCCCTTCCCCCTGCGTGGTAAAATGTAGAGTAGATCCCCAACATGCAAATCTTGAAATTGACAGAAATTAACTGGACTGAAGTTGGATATATAGTAGGAGCTTAAGAAAATGACTTGGAAGTGCTCACTAGAAATAGAGTTTTGGAAGAAAAATTAATTTCTCAAGCTTGTCTGGGACTCACAAAGTAGAGATGCTGGGGCTACTGTAGTGTGATGGATAGCAGTCTCTTCTTTGTCCCACCCCCACCCCCGACCACTGCTCAAAGTGAGCAGTTTGCACACACCTTAAAGATTCAAAGTCGTTTTTAAAAGCTCTGAAATCCAGGTGTCAACCAGAGAGTTGGAGGAATTTGAGGGCTATACAGTGAACCAGGAAAAAAGGCAACAGAGGAAGAAAAGAGAGAGAAACTCAGGGGAGGGGAGTTGGAGAGGGGAGAGAAGAGAAGGAATGCCCACGTTTCCTGGTTATTTTAATTTTCACATCACAAAGTGCCACCCACCTGTCAACCATGACACTTCCCTGTGCCACCTACTGTGACCACTGGGAGGGAAGAACGTGGAACTCAATCCTTCCCACCCAGCCTGATCTGCCTACTGCTGTTAGACCACAAAGGAAGGAAGAGCCTCCAAAAGTTGCCAAGGTTCTCTCTCTCTGAGGTAAATGGCCAATTTCCACAGCCACTGGAGTGAGAACGCTGACCCCAACTCCCCTACTGGACTTACACCTCAATGCCACAGGAGCCTGGAGTCAGACCGTAGCTGCCTTGGGTTGGCAGGGACACCCAGGGTTCAGTGAAGGAGGCAGTACCAGAATCCAGAAGTCACCAGTCCAGTCTCAGTCAGCGATGAACTGATTCTCCGAACCCTTTGGGCCAAGGACAGGCCACGGCCTCCATGCTTCTAGTCCCTTCCTTGAAGCGATCGGGTAAATCACATGATGAGCCTCAAGCAAGGGACTTTAAGCTGGTGGCTTCCAGCAGCTTCCTGCTCCTGAACCACCACTGTCTCTCTCTGAAGTCCTTCCATTGTCCTGCCCCAACCTGTGCAGGCCCTAGGGAGGCTCTTACTCTGTTTGCATGGTGAGCACCGGCCTCTGTGCCAGCTTCGTCACTAGCCAACTGTTTTGGTTTCCTGTGGCTGCCGTAACGAACTACCACCAACTCAGTGGCTCCCAACAACAGAGATTTACTCTCATATAGTTCTGGAGGGTGGAACCCCACACTTGGTCAGCTGGGCTGGCCGCTCCTGTAGTCTGTGAGGAGAGAATCCGTTTCCTTGCCCTTTCCAGCTTCTGCTGGCTACCTGCACTCCTTGGCTCATGGCCCTTCCTCCAACTTCAAGGTGTGTCCCTCTGGTCTCTGCTTCCAGCATCATGTGGTCTTTCCCTCTTCTGTCATGTCAAACCTCCTCTGCCTTCCTCTGATCAGGGATGCTTGTGATGGCACTTAGGACCCATGCAGATAGTCTGGGATGACCTCTCCTTCTCGAGATCCTTAATCACATCTGCAGTGTCCCTTTCGCTGTGTCATATTTATAGGTTCCAGAGATTAGGACGCAGACATTTTGAGAGG